CCTTCTCCTTGAAAGAATTTGCTATAGCCCAGAAACATTCCGATTTATTAGAACAGTTACCAGACACAATAGATATTTAAAGAAACAAAGAAATTCAGAATAGCTAAGCAAAGCAAGCTGAGTGATTTCTTTAGTAGGAAATGAGACTCAAACTGCTGCTGAACATCAACTTTACTGTACAAATCTTCAAATAATTTTCATACTACTCATTATTGTGCAATGATTTTAGTTTACATAATACAATTTAAAATCAACATTTGTATTTGTAATAAAGTGTTTGGATACTGTGTACAGTAGTGTAATAGTGTTTCAAATGGGGTTGCGAGATCTGTTTTAATACATTCAGTGCCTAATTAATATTCATGAATAAATTAGTGAACCTGTATAGAAAGGCCACCTGTCTATAAAGGCCAAAATTTCAAAGTCCCTTGGGTGACCGCTATAGACAGGTTTGACTGTAATTAAAGATGGTGTACTTGCAGCCATATTGTTTTTCACAACAATTTTTGTTCAGTTATGTCTATGATGTGCAATAATATATTTCATTGTCTTTTTTAGGACATAGTTAGGAAACTAAGACTTATATTATGGGTTCTTCCCTTCTGTCTATTTTCATGATTGGTTTTTATAAAATTTCTCTGTCTGGTGACCACATTTGTTTAGTGATTAAAAAATATCAACTGGTATCAATTACAGTGAATCAATATTAAGAGAACTATTGTGATTTTCAAGGTGTACTCTCTTTCAGATGGACATAAATTATAGTAAGTTTGCAACTGTCCAGCCGATAGAAGATACAGTCAAATTTCTAAGTCATGCACTGTTACGAACTGGTAAATGTGAGGAAACACGAACATCTGGTGAATTAGTACAACCAGCAACACAAGGTATGATCTGTTTATAGCAGTGATTTATAAATATAAGGACGTAAAGAAAGTTTTAGTTATGTATTAATGATTGGAATATCACTGTGTCACAATATTTTCTTTTATTTCTTTTATTCACCAAATCAACATCTTAGATCAGCATGTGAACATCATGTGTACATTTAATACAAAACTATACACTGTGCATAGCATTGTGGCAGCTTCATTTCCCGCTATAACCATTTTGCTAATTTTTACATTTTAGTTAAATCATATTTATCATCAACATTTGTAAAAATTGTGGATGTTTGCTGAATAAAACTCATAATTTTATCGTCAAATTTAATGCAGTTGTTCATCTTAGTCCTTTCTTGTGTATATCCATTGATCAATCTTTTATTCAAAAAAATAAATTCTTGATATTATTTTCAGTTTTACTGGAACTTGCTAAGGATTGTGTATTTGAAGACATGTCTCTGTTATTGGGATATCTCTTAGCATTACCAGAGGTAATTATATAATTGAATATCCCATAATATTCCGTGTATACTGTACAATGATTTATTTTTACTTGCAGTTTGAGTGAGGTTTATCAGCAATATTATTGAATACTGTAAAGGGGTTAATTATTCACAGGGTTTTAATTTTGCTTATTTCGCTGACTGGAAAATGCGCTAAATTAAAACCCAGTGAATATATAAAATTTAGCATAGAACACATTACCTAAATGATAAAACCATGAATTTAAAACTCACTGAATATGCCTGAAATGGTAAATCAGTGAAATTTAAATCCAGTAAAAATTAGTCATTTTACAGTAGTATTTTATAATGTGAATCAGTAAAAATACAATTTCATAGAAACTGCTAATTTAAGCCATTGAAACTGTCTTGTATGACAGAAAATGTATAACATTTCATCTATACATAAATACAAGAAAGATGTTTATAAGATATTTTCAGAGGCAAACTAAATGTTTAAGAACAGTACTGAGGGGTAATTAGAAGTTATTTATCTAAACACCAACAATAAACTTCTATTACAAGAACAGTACTTTCAATCAATTATATCCAACACAAGTTGAATTTATGTTTAATTTCTTTGTATTTATTTTATTTTCATTGACTTGCTATGTTTTGATTTTTATAACTTTATTTCATCCTAAATATTACCATGGTGAAATATTGTATGAAATGAATTAAATGTAACTGTACTCTAAATAAAGTTTTATACTAATTTTTTTTTGCTCATGGTTAAGTCTCTGGATGCTGAACATATATTAGAAAAGCTACCCAGGACTGCTGTGTGCTTGCAGTTTGCTGCATACTACTATGCACTACAGATCTACACAGCATTGAACCCTTACCAGGGGTCAAAGGTCAATGACCTTTACTTACAATCACCTAATGAAGTCATTGATGTTGTCATCAGTCATGTGACTAGTCAAGCTACACCTGATTGGTCAGATTCTGTCACATTACTGATCCCAAAATTGCAGCTATATGTTGAACTATTGGCTGACTTCATGCAAGCGGAAATGTTACAAAATTTGGGAAGAGGTTAGTTGTATTCAGTACATAGTCACTCAGTGTCAAAATGTCAACATATTCTTTCATTTACATCTGACACAGTAGCACTTAGCTGGAATGTAATTATTACTGCACACTAGTGCCGCAGAGGAATGAATCTCATAAAACCATAAAGAACAAACAAAAATCTGGAAATATTTACCTACTATTTTATACTACTAATGAAGGGTCTTTGCCCAAATCTTTCACTCTACGATTACCAACTATCACTGGCTATGTATTTATCTTGTGAAACATTTGTTATTGCCATGACTACAAGGTACAATTAATATAGTAATCATAATAAAGAATAGCTTATAGTATACATGAAGACACTGTAGTGATCATATCATGGTTTTGCTACATGTATATTTATATTTATTATGTAATATCATTCATGCAAAATGACACTTTGTTTTCTGTGTTTTATTAGGTGTTGATGTTGCTAGATTCACACAGGACAATGAATATAAGCATGAAACAATTGTAGGATTAGCTATGTAAGTAACACATCAGTCATGTCCATTATTGTAGGATTCAGTTCTATTCACTTGTAATTGTAACTTGTGTTCAAATATTGTACATATTCGAAATAATAATATCGTAATTATTTACAGTATAATTATAATTCGTATATTTTTACATTTATTTGTTTTCGATCCAGGAGTGAAGAAGTTGATGCGTTTGAAATCTCTGTGTCATTAGCTAAGCGGTATAACCTGTCTATATGGGAGGTTTACATGACACATTTGGAATACCTATTCTCAGACAGTGGGTATGTACATCATTATATACTTGGAATAAAGATATTGAGATATTAGTGAATATTAACAAGGCAATTAAATTCATAATACTGCTCTATATTTGCCATATTAGTAACATATAAATAAAAATAATTTGTATTTTAATTATCCAAAAATGCATTTTTTGGTTGATGTGCAGTTCTTTTGAACTCAAATAGAGCAAATGCAGTAGGCACTAAATGGCTGTGAGTCAGCCATTTTGAAACGATTGCAATACAGATGCATATTTCAGACTCAATATTGTGTGTATGTATGAATTTTAAATTTGACTGGTTCAGTCATGTCTTTGATATGGATGTGGACAACAAAAATATCACATATCCCTTGTATCCTATGTTGTAATGATCAGGACACATAAATACCTCAAATTCTCAGAAAATATTTACTACTGTAACTGTAATTTTTCTACAATATACTTTTCAGTCTTACAACCAAAGAGATTGAGAAGAGATGCAAAGATCTTGACATTTTACCAACATTGGTTGAGAATTCATCAGATTTCTGTCAGCGCTGTAAAACGTACATATATACCAGCATTGAGGGGGAAAATCATAATAGACTGTTGTTTTATTACACATTGATTGGACAGTGTGATGATAGTGATATTACTGACATTATCAAACCAGATACTCACATAAAGTTACTGAAGAAGTTGAAGCCTTCCATGCCTGGTAAGCAAGGGTTAAATACAGCCTAGGAAGTTAACTTTTTGGCAAAGAGCAAAATGCTCCTAAGCACTAAAAAAATAGAAGCAAAATGCTCCTAAACCTAAAATTTTAGGAGCAAAATTGTTTCATGCGTAAAACAAATAAAATGTGTTATGCTAATCTTTGCGAATACAACTACAATAATGACATACTGAAATGAGAGATACTGTTCTGTTGCAAAAAGTCCTGAGTTTTATCCTGGTCGGAGATTGCATGTTCGATGTTATCATCAGTTTCATATTTGGTAGTCTGGCCGGAACTGATTTATGCATTCATCTGTGAACAGAACTTGAAGGACCAAATTCGGCCATGCTAGGGCCTTCCAGGCTGATAAGTATTAGATCACCCTCATCTTCCGTTTTGTGGCTGGATGCTAGGATGTAAGATCTGATGTCCCGGAATTTGTTGTTGGAATTTTGTTCTGTTCAACCGGCCGAAAGTAATTAGTAATCAGCTTATTCGCCATGTCTTGTTCGAGCCGAAAATTCGACAGTGTGACATTGATTATTGTTCTTTACAACACGACTTACTTGACACTGAAAAACGCTGTCACGTTAGCCAATGAAAATTATTTAATTGACAATCAAAGAGCTGCCGACAGTGTAAACCGGCATTCATTTAAAAAACTGTATG